GTTCCTTCAGCTTAAGAAATGCCAAGCAAGTTCGGTCCTTTTGATTTTCTGACTCCAGCTCCTTGCACATTTCATTGTAATACTTTGCTTTGTCTTCCCTAGCTGCCCTTTGAAATCTTCTGTTCAGCTCCTTAACTTCCTGCTGCCTTCCCTTGACTTTGGCTTCTCAGCCCTCCAGTGTGATTTTCTTGGTCTTTTCTTCCTCCTGTCTTTGTAATGATCTTTTGCTTTCTTTGTGGTTGATATTCTTGATATTCTCCCACAGCTCTTCTGGTCTTTGTTCATTAGTGTTCACGGCTCCAAATATGTCCCCGATTCTTATCAGAGGTATTTAAAGGTACCCTGACATCGATAAATTGTGGGATTTTTATTGATTAAAAAAAAAGTCTGTTCCTGAGATAGTTTTTAAATTTAGCAGGGATAGACTCAAGGTCAAATTTTGTTTCCTGTGGATTTAGCTTTCTTTAGCTTTAGTTTGAACTTGCATATCAGTAGTTGATGGTCTGTTCCACAATCTGCACCTGGACTTGTTGAGCTTCTCCAGTGATCCAAATGTAATCAATTTGATTCCTGGCTAGGTCCACGTGTACAGTCATCACTTGTGTTTCTTATAAAATGGCATTTGCAATTAATAAATCATTGATTGTACAAAGTTTTATCATTCTCTTGCCTTATTTTTTTTTTGTCTTGTGGTGTACCGTCAAATCGGATCCGACTGGCACAATCTCCTCCTTCTCCAGCAGAACATCTCGTGGATTTGAACCACACTCCTTTGGGATTGCAGCACAGATTCCTGCTACTGGGCCACCAGAGCTTGCTGTCTAGCCTCATTTTTGTCACCACGTCCATGTTTTCTGACTACTGATGCTTCCTCTCTGTTTCTAATTTTTGCATTACAGTCGTCCATCATTACTAATGCATGTTGGTTGCATGTTCAATCAATTTCTGACTGCAAAAGTTGGCAGAAATCTTTTATTTCCTTTTCTTTGGCTCTAGGTGTTGGTGCATATACTGAATGATAGTGGTCTTCACTGGACTTCATTATATGCATATGGATATTATCCTGCTGCTCATAATAATTATATTTCAAGATGGATCTATAAATGACCTATTTTTTCTCACCTTTTCATATCTGGCATAATAGATCATACGATTCTCTTATTCAAAATATCCCATGCTAATTCATCTCATTGTGCCAATATCATGTCATTACTTATGTATTCTGTTTCTTAACAATATCCAATTTCCCTACATTCATTCTTCTCACATTCCAGGTTCTAATCCTGTGTTTGCTTACAACTGTTCCTCCACCCCTGTGCCTATTCCTGCCAGTTCTGGCATCAACTGTCCCTCCAATGGCCCTCACTGGATTTTATACTCTATTGCAATGCCCATAGAAAACCATATTCACGTTTAAGGGGCTCATTAGAGAAGTTAACAGGTAAGAACTCAAGTTGGCAACAGGTACAATTCTTCAGTCAGGACAACTTCTCAAAGTTCTTTGACTTTCCGTCTCATGGCTTTAGGTCACTGTTTCAAAGCTCTTAGTACTGATAATTTTGATGCTTCCCTCTACTCCAGCAAGCTTGGGTGAAGACTCCTGGTGTTGAATACATGGAGAAGCAGCCCCAGGTCACCACTGTTTCACATCAGTCCCTGGTTCTCTGCTACTGTTGCTGCTGATCTTGATTCTGGCCTGACTGGCACAGCAATCTCTGTGGCCCAAAAGGATAGATGTGAGCTACATTCTCTGCTGCTTTCTTGCTGATAGTGAAACTATAATTTTCTGTCACTAAACCTTGTCATTTAAACTTGGCAAGACTGACCAATGTCCTCCTCATCAGTAGTAAATACACCTTACTCATGTTTCCACCCACTTATGTGACAGAAAGTCAAAAGGCAATGGGCTACGAATTTGGGACAATAAATCCACTATACTATAATGAGACAGTCTTGTCATTTTTACTTCCAAGGAGTATTGCAAGTGCTGTTCTTTTTTTAAAAAAAAATTTGTGCTTTTTAAAAAAACATTATTTTGTATGTGTATACAGTCAAATCAGACTGGTACAGGAGGAGATTGTCCCTCCTTCTCCAGCAGAGCATCTGGTGGATTTGAACCATGTACCTCTGGGATTGTAGTGCAGCTTCTTGCCACTAGGCCATCAGAGCTCCCTAACAAGTGCAGTTCTTAAAAGGCAGAATTTTGTTGACTCTAACCACCACAGCATGTTCCATTTTCTTTGCAAACATAATTCAAAGGCATCAATCCTTTAACCTTTCTCATTGTTTGGGTTTTGTACACCTATGAGTTGACTGAAAACATCATGGCCTGGACCAGGTGCCAGGAGAATGTGCAAATTATTGAATAATGTCAGTAATATCACTTACATGTAAAATTATGCTGAAGATAATTATGCAGCCATACACTGACAAGGAACTGCCAGAAATTCAAGCTCTATTTTTTTTTAAAAAGGACCCCATATGTCATTGCTGATGTCAGATTGGTTTTGCCTGAAAGTAGATATACTAATAACAAACGTATGTCTGTGTTTTATGGACTATAAAAGGCATTTGACTGTGTGGATCCTAACATATGATAATACTAGGAAGAATGGGAATTCCTGAACACTTAATTGTAGTTATGCATTATCTGTATGTTGTTATGTGCTGCCGAGTCGCTTGCGACTCACAGCGACCCTATGTACAACAGCCCTAAACTCTGCTCTGTCCTGTGCCAATCTCATTGTCTCCGATACACTAATCCCGATTGCCCCAGTCACCAAATCAATCCACCTCCCAGAGGGCCTTCCCCTCCTGCACTTGCCCTCCACCCTCCCAAGCATGAGGTCCTTCAACAAGGATGGTTCCTCCTTACCACATGACCAAAGTATGTCAGATGAAGCCTAAGAATCCTTGCCTCCAAGGAGCAGCCAGATTTAACCCTCTCCAGGATGAATCTGTTTGTTTTCTTAGCAGTCCATGGTACCCTGAGCACTCTTCTCCAACACCAAAGCTCAAAAGCATCAATTCTCCTTCTATCCTCCCTGGTCATTGTCCAGCTCTGATGCATAACATGTGATTACAAAGACCATGGCCTGTACCAGATGCACCTTAGTCTCCAGAGACATACCGTTGCTCTTCAGTACTTTAGAGAGGTCTCTAACAGCAGACTTTCCCATCACAATACGTCTTTTAATTTCCTGACTGCTGATGCCAAGAGTGTTGATTGTGGAGCCAAGCAGACTAAAGCTGTGAACAATCTCAATCTCTTCACCATCCATCCTGATGCTACCAATTGGTCCAGTGGTGAGAATCTTTGTCTTCTTGACATTGAAGGCTGCAGTCCTTGACCCTCTGCAGCAAGTGCATCAGGTCCTCCTCAGTTTCAGCAAGCAGGGTTGTGTCATCTGCATAACACAGATCAGTCCTTAAGTAGGGCAAGGGGATTCAACTGTCTTTGGCTTGAGAGCATGAACTCCTTACCACTAAACACTAGTTGTTACTGGCTGTTGAGGACGACTCACAGCGACCCTATGAACAAATCTGAACCCTGTCCTACCCTGTTACATCTGATACACTTGAGTCCACTGCTCTAGTCACTGTTTCAATCTATTCATTTAGGGTCTTCTGCTATCTCAACTGATCTTCTACCCTTCCAGGCATTATGTTCCTTTCCAAGGAGTAACTCCTAGCAATATGCCCAAAGTATGTGACAAGTTTTGCCATCCTTGCCTCCAAACACTTGTCTGCACTTTTCCCAAACCATTAAAGCTCCCTTATTTTTTTTTAATGGTAAGCTTTTCATAAACACGAAGGGTAGTAAAGGCAAGTCAAATGTCATTCTCTCATAATTGCTATTATCACCAGCATGTAGATGTATGAATTTTGGCTGGCATCTGATCAGACTTGGACATTTATACTGAATCAACATTCAAGTTAAGTGGTGGTTTATTGTTCAAAATGGCTTCCCTACAAAGTCTCCGAGTGAACTGCATCCATCTTTGCTTTCGCCACTTGTGGAGGTTTCAAGGGCAAAACACGAAATCCTAAGTGAACTGCCCTAAAATTAATGACAATAGCACTATTACAGCCACTTTGGGTTCCCCATTCAGGTTGAATCAGGCATCATTTCAGGATGCTCCAGCAGGAAAAGTATGTGAAGTAAAATGAAACAATTAAGGTCTTAGGGCAGATTACTCTCTCTGCACAGTTCTGTTACATTGGCAGTCTTTGTCTTCCTGTACTGCATTGTAGCTCTTTGGCTTTACCTTGGTTACACAAATATCAAGTCAGAAACTTGCCATGACGGACTTTGTTGTCACTCGTTATGGTTAGTGAGCACTTCAGCTTGGACTAAATAAAGCTCTTAGATATCAAGTAGGCACTGGTCATGACCTAATTCAGAAACTAGAGCCAGCCTTGTAAGCAGGTAGGAGTGAACAGTTATTTCGGCTTGGTGACCAGTAGGGGATCCTTAAATGTATCTGTGATCTTTTAATTTTTTAGTATGATTTTTTTGAGGAGGAAATGCTTAGTTTGTATACAAGGAGACTAGCTTATACAGTCCATAAAGTATTTCTACTTCCCATTGCCAAGGAAATATCCCACCTGCTGCTGGAATATAATTAAAGAGAGAAATACACTATGAAATATGTCTTTATTATGAACTGTTGACAACAACTGGAGATTATTTGCTTCTATAATTTTTCAATTTTAAAAAAAATGGCTTCCCTAGCTATTTGATTTTGCCGGTTGGAAATATGCAGTATGTTAGCTTATCCACAGGGAACTGAGTGGCTACAGCAGCAGAACTTGAGAATTTCACCACTAGCAAAGCAGCACCAAGAGAATCAACATGTTTTTGGGGCCAGAGATTGCTGCACCAGTCAGACTAAGGCTTACAGACAGCAGCCATAGCAGAGGCTGAGGTGGCTTTAGCAAACAATACTGACTATACCTTTTGACTTCAATATGGTTTCGTGTGGCCTAAGATGTCATACCTGATTCTGGATCCAGTAGTTAAGATGGGTGCTGGAATGGGTAGAAAAGAGGTGTGGGAAAATGTCTAACCCCATGGGAACTGACTTTGTAGTGGTAATGTTGATGGGGACAATTGCACTTTGTGAAGTTGATAAAGGTCAGAAACAGCCATTTCCACATGGCCCTTGCTCTTCTTACATGGACCATAAGTGTTTTCATTTTATTATCATATCCTTAAATTTTGACTAATTCTTGCTGGTAAATTGTTAATGAGACATGAAAATTCTCACTGGATTATACTGCTTGCTTACGTCCAATTCTACCTAGAAACAAAGTTCTCTACGAGCATCAGTAAATTTTTAAGAATTATGCTAGGAATATTCAATTCCGGATATTTTGTTTTAGAGAATATCAGAATTAGGTTAAAAGTCCCAGTCTGCTATGTTTGATTAGCAACCATGTGGCGTGGGACATAACCAAAAATCTTTCACGCTATTGCATTATTTGTAAGATATTATGTGTTCTGCCCACCTTGTGGCATCCTTACAGAAATCTGGTAAAAATGGTGAAATCAGACAATTTAAGCATTAGGAAGCAGCTGGAGTTTATGCTGAGGACCCAAATGCCTTTCCCTGCTTAGCAATTTTTGTCAAATCTCTGTTCTATATCCCTTTCAGAGACTGAGTAACTAAAGGACTGATCTTTAGCTGACAAAACTCTTACCATTAGGCAGGGTGATCAACAAGGGGAATTTTCTTGGTGATTCCTCTATTCCTTCTATTATTTAATGATTACCCGTCTCACTTTCTGGGTTTCCAGGTAAACCCTCCCATACCAGAAGGCACCAGTAGACTGCTATATTTTACTTTATTTTCCACATAATAGAACTGCTAGTATTCATTAATCAAGGAGGAAATGAAGTGAGAATGCAACATTTAACTTCCTCCAAAACATACATTGCAAATATCACAGAAAC